TGAGGGGCCCCGTCCCTCGCCTGACATGCCCGATGTGGTGTGCACAGGCTGCAAATGGGGGTCGCCGGGGAGCCCCCTGCTGAAGGAAGCTGTCTGCGGCATGTCACGAATAGCAGGGCTTCGCATGGGCCGGGGAGGGATGGGTGGTCTAGTCGGTCTCTGCCATTCCGAATTCCTGGCACTGCCATGAATAGAAAGGGAAGCCAGTGTACGGTCTCCATCAGCCCCAGCTGGGAGGGGAGGTTGGTCCAACGGGGTGGGGGGGACTTTACAGGGAGAGTTAGGAATGTCGGGCTGGAAGGGGATCAAGTCCAGTCCGTGTGATCGTAGGCAGCCCCAGCGTATCATTCGCTTCACAAACGTACCAAGCTGGGTTGTTAGCCCCCCCAGCGCCCAGTGGAGGCTGTTCCGGAGCCTCCCTCCTCTGGTGGTTAGAAACCTGCTTCTCATTTCCAGCCTGAATTTGTTCCTGGCCAGTTTATCCCCATTTCCTCTTGTGCCAACATTGTCCTTTAGCGTCAGTGCCTACCCCTGCTGTATTTGTAGAGAGCAGTCAGATCCCCTCTCAGCCTGCATTGTGCTAGGCCAAACAAGCCAAGCTCTCCCAGGCTCCTCTCATAAGACAGGCTTCCCTTCCCCGGATCATCCCAGTAGCTCTCAGCTGCACCTTTCTGCTTGGTGATGAACCGTACACGGTATTCCAAAGGAGGGCTCACCAGTGCTTCATCCAATGGCATGAACACTTCCCTCGCCTAATGCACACGAGGATTGCACTTACTTGTTTTACAGCTGCGTCACGTTGGTGGCTCATCGGCATCTGTGAACGACCTACACGCCAAGGCCTCTTCTCCTCTGTGGCTGTCACCCAATGAGCCCTGAGCTTATAGCAGACATTCTTGTTGTTAGCCCCTTGCACTTGGTGCTCTTACATTTCATCCCATTGCTGTTACACCAGGCTTCAAGGCCTCCCTGTACGATATTCTGATCCTCCTCTGTATTGACGATGCCTACCAGTGTGGGGTCCTCCGCACGTTTCGTTAGCCTTGGCACAAGAAGCAGGAATGCGCTATCTATGAAAATATCTAAATGGGAACAGTCCCGAGTCAGATCCTTGAACTCCTCCAGCCTGAGTCGAGGGAACCCAGAACAACTTCTTCCACGTCCCCCTGCGGCTTGCTAGTGGGGCGGCTTATAGGCTGTGTAGTCTAGTGTCTGGAGTCAAGACCCCTGGGTTCTAATCCAGGCTGTCCCTGACTCCCGGTGTGACCTCTGGCCCGGTTTGCAGGGGAGCTGGGCTCCCATGCGGTTCAGTGTCTGTACAGCACTCTAAGGCCCTCTGGTCCATCACAGGTATTTCTCTAGCCCCCTTCAGTTGAGTGTCACACAAGCTTCAGTGCATTTACCCTCCATGCTATTATACTAGGGAGATTAAGTGACTCACCCAGGGCCTCACAGGGAGTCAGTGATGGAGCAGGGAATTGAAGCCAGATTTCTCAAATCCCAGGCTAGCGCTCTAACCATTGGGCCGTCCTTCCTCTCTGGTGAGCTGCTGTACGGTTGGAGTGCAAAGCATTGTTCTTGCCTAGCTCGGCATCAGCTGCCTGCTTCTAACGCTGTCATCGCTTTTCTTGTGCCCCCGGGGATCGGCAGCTCCAGATGGGCCACGATATTCTCCTTTCTTCCCATCTTCAAGTCTAATCTGCCATGCCGCTGCCAAGGCACCTCTCGCTGTCCTGGGGCGGGGGCTCTGCTCCAAAGATTGATGGCTGCCTCCACTCGCCCGGTCCCTCCTTGGTTTCTTTTTTGGTCACATCTGAAATGCTGCAGGTCGCGTCCTGTTAATGAGAGTCTGAGAGGTGCGGGCGCATGTTGTCAGTCGGGATTCGGCTGTTGTCAACGTACGCACTGCTCCCACTCTCCCCTTGCCACTTAATTTTCCCGGAGTGAGACGCGGGCATGTCATCGCAGCCTGGCTCGCACTCTGGTCTAAGGAACGTATGCGGATAGCCGTTTCTTTTCGCCCGCTGACTGCGCTGGAAATGATGAGTTTCCGAGTCGGGGAGCTGGTTCCAATTTACATTCAAGTCCCATAGCTGGAGCAGCGAGCTCTCTGCTCTAACCTTTGCCATAAAATATGGCATTTTGAATGCCCCTGCTCCTTCCCAGTGAGTCCTTTTCTGCAGTGCAAGCCGTTCAGCGGTGGGGCCGGATCTTGGGACCATCCTATTGATTTTATTTCTGTGATCTAGTGAGTTTCCATCTACATCTCTGCTTTAGCAGTCTCGTCAGGCAGCCCTTCGGTGAACTAGAGCCAAGCTTTTACTGAAGGGAAGAAAGTTTCTGGCTGCAGCTAGTTTCTCCCTTCTCCTCCTTTGCAGTTCATTTTTCTAAATTAAGGACACAGTGAAATAAAAAGCCACCTGGCTGTGTTATTTTAGGAACAGCTTTTTTTTTCCGGGTGAAATAAATCAGAAGCCCGTGACGTTTAGTGTCTTGCGTCTGAAATGTACAGATTGCTCAGTTTTTGGCTAAGGCCTCTGGTTCAAAAGAAGTGAATAACCTAGCGATTTGAGATAATCAATTGGGTAATGCATTCCCAAATTATAGGCCCAGCCTAGGAATAATGGCCTGAGATTTAAGCCTGTTTAGCAAACGGTCTTAATCTGTTGGTGCTTTCTGACCTGTTGGATGTTTGTCCTGTTTGCCTCTGCTCCGTTCTGGGGTGGGGAGGGAAGTTGGGCATGTGGGAATTTTCCACGAACTTAGGCTGCCGGTCTGCTCTGGCTTCTATCAAGGAAAGCAGCAGCGAGCTGGGAGGAGACTGTCTTCCTGCTGTTTCTGCTGTGATGGGTCCATTTGAAAGAACACTGAATCCCATTACTGTAACTATCATTCTGAGCCCTCCCTCAATGTCTGGGCCTGTCTAATGAAAGCGTGCCAGGCATTAAAGTGTGGTGCTGCACGCATTTCACCGAGCACTCGGAGTCCCTCCACCACCACCGACCCTCGCTCACGGCGCGTTGGTTTTTCACTCACCAATATGCATTAATTTATATACAGTGGCTTGTTGCTAGGAGTGGAGCAGGCAGCAAAGTGCGGTATTCAGTTGAGGCAAGATTCCCTGCGAAAGGGAAGCACTTGCTGCTCCGCCGGGGGCTGCGTCGGCCCCGGGTTATCTTTAATGGGGGGGTGAGAGGTTGCTGGAGTTGGGTGTTCCGGGCCAGCTGGCGCATCTCCTATCCACCCGCACCAGTGCTCGAATAGGCGGGTTTTAGTGGAACTGCCTAGGGCAGGGGAGTAGCCGGGCAGGGGGCAGCTGTCTGCAGAGGATTTTGGCACCTGCCGCCTTGCTGCGGTGTCTTAAACAAGTGAAACTGGGCATCTCGCGTGATGGGTGGGGAGGGGAGCCCAGGGGTGGCTCTGAGCCTGACAGGAAGAGCGCGTTCTCGCAGCACAGAGGTCCTGAGACGCAAGCTCCTTCCTTGAGGAAGGCCAGGAGCTGTGCCAAGGTCACAGGGAGCTGCCTGGATCCAGGCATGCAGACTGGGGCCAGGTAGATAACTGAGTGTTTAGTGATGATTTGTATTAGCATAGCGCCCGGGAGCCAGGCCCGAATTGCGCTAGGCGCTGTACAAACACAGGATGAAAAGCCGGTCCCTGCCCCAGAGAGCTCCCCATCAGAGTATGAGATGAGATGACAGGTGGAGACAGACAGATGGGGGAGCACATGGAAACACAGACAGTCCTGGTATCTGCTCAGCCCTGAGTGCTCCATGGATCGTCTGAGCAGCTGGTCTCCCTAGGGTCCCCGGATTCCTGGGGCTGAATTCGGCAGGGACCATCAGCCACTCGTGCCCAGATGCTGCCCCATAGCTAGCGGGGCACGAGGGTGTTTCTCGGGTGCTGTTGCCCTGGCTTGCCGGAGCAGGTTCAGAGACCTGACCCGAGCAGCCTCGTCAGCTGGGGAAGGAGGCTACGGGAGCCCAGCATTCAGGCCTTGTCTATGCCGGAAAGATTTTCCGTACAAACTCGGGTGCATTTAAACCAGTTGGTTATCCCGGTGTAGCCCCAGCCCCAGGCCTGCCGGCCCGGGGGAAGAGCTGCCCTTTCTCCATGCAGCTTGTGTCGCTTGGGAAGGGATTTAAGCCAAGCTAGAAGGATCCAAATAGAAGAGTCCCAGGCCAGGGAGGGGGAAGGGCGAAGGGCAGCTAAACCATGAAAGTGTCCGTGGAGGCAAGGCCTTGGAGACCCCTGTGTGGAGGCCAGCCCGGCTCCCCGCTGACTGTCCTGCTGGGCGGGTGGAGGAGAGGTGGTCGCACCGGGGACTCGAATCACTGTCAGTGAGATAAGGGGCTGTTCAGGGCAGCGCCAGGCCTTGTGTGGTTTGGGCCCTGGCCCTGCTGCCCGCTAGGGAGCTGGGCCTAGCACTGCTCGCAGCCTGCATGCAGCTGGGCGTACGAGTGGCCGTGTTCCCACACCTGTGACTTGCTGCCATGTGCCTGTGGGGTGCTGGACAGGAGTACCTGATTGCTGCCCTGCCAGGAAACTCTCAGCTCTCCCCTTCCCTGCTCGAGGGGCTATCTAGCATGCCGGGGGCTGACCCCACCATCTGCGGGGCTGGGGGCAGGGCTTGGCTCCCTGGAGCAGACTCTCCACCTTGCCCCGGACGGCGCTGTGCTCCCCAGGGAGAGTCTCCCAGCCAGCCAGGTACAGCACTGACCAGGCCAAGCCCCATCTTAATGGTGACTCGTTATGGGCCGAGTGCCGCTGTCCCCTCTGGCTCGTCAGCCCTTCTGTCCCCAGCCAGCAGGCTTCAGCCTCTGGCCTGAGCAGCAGGGGCCTGTGCTCGGAGGCCAAGGCTCCAGGTTCGATCCCTCACCGGCCCAGGCTGGGGGTTGTGTAACTGGCTGACATGAGGGCGCTGTGCCTTGTCCCACGGGGGTGTGGGTTCCCCCTCGCACCATCGGTCTCGAACGTTCTCTCTCCTTTCTCTCTCCCAGGACACCCAGAAGGCCAAGCAGTTCCTGCCCTTCCTGCAGCGGGCCGGCCGCTCCGAGGCGGTGGTGGAGTACGTCTTCAGCGGCTCTCGGCTCAAGCTGTACATGCCAAAGGAAACCTGCCTTATCACCTTCCTGCTAGCAGGTGAGCCAGCCTCGTGTCTGCGGGGGTGGGGCTTGTGCCCGTGCTGCGGCGGTCCCTTGCTGGGCGGGCAGCGGCTCAGCCTGCCCTTGATCTGTGGTGCCCGGCGGGGGCATGGCACGGGAGCTCTCAGGCCCGCCATGCCGCAGCGTGAGGAGGGTTTGGAATGGGGGAAGGTCCTCAGTCCGTCTGTCCATGCCAGTGCCCCAGCTCCCTTTGTGACTGATCTGAGTCTGATTCCCCTAAGGCCAGGGGGGCACAGAGTGCACTCTCCCTCCGGGGTCTCCCCTCCCCATGCTGCTGTGGGCACATCGGCTCTGTGTGTAGGGGAGCGAGCAGCACTGAACCCAGCTCTGGTGCCTTCCTGCACCTCGGCCGCATATCCTGCGCTGTGTAAACCTGCCTGGTACCCTTCTAGGTGGAGAGGCTCTTCTTCCCCGGTGCCTGCTTTGACACTGGGGCAGTGTTTCTAGGGGACCCCCCCCCCGACTTATCTCCAGCACGGAGCCCGTTTTCTTCCACCTCCCATGGCTCACTGCCTCCTGCGGGGGGAGATCCAGGTTTGAACCCTGGTCCCGGCCCCCTCCTGGCGGCTCCGGTACCTGAGCCAGCTACTCGGCTGTGTTCCATACACGTGTAGCTCTGTCTGTCTGGCGCCTTCATCTCTCCCAGCAAAGCACAGCCACAAGCCGTGTGCTCGGAACACTGTTCCTTTATGCACCAGAGGAGCCAAGCGCTTCGTTTCTTCCCCGCTGACGAGCAGTAAAACGTGCCTTTCTTGGCGCTTGCTGCCTCCTGGAGGGGCTGCGTTGTTACGGGTGAGGCCGCGCCTTTCCCCGTCACGCTTGGCACTGAGCCCTTGAAGCCTGCTCTTCTTCGTTCTCGCAGATCTCTCGGCTGATGAGTCTCGCCTGGCTGCAGTGGGGCTTGCTGGCAGCCGCTTGCCATCTGCCCCGGGTCTCCTCCTCCCTGCCAGGCTCTGGGAACTGCCTTCCCTTCCCTCCCCTCCCCTCCCCTCCCCTCCCCTCCCCTCGTCTTTCGGCAGGTAGATGGGGTCACAGGACGCAGTGCATCTTGCTGAAGGATATGGGGCCCGAGATCACAGCTGCTTCCCCCACTGTCAGTTCTTGTTGAGCGTCTCTCTCATTGCATGTGAAGTTAATGATCACTCTGCAACTTGCTCTGCCTTCTAGAGGGATTAATTGAGCTGGGGCGCCGTAATCAGACACGACTGCGGGCTCTGCCGAGGCGAGAGCGGTCAGAATCCCGGCGCTGGGGCTGCACACGCCCCGGCGCTTGTTTGCACTGCATCTCTGCTCTCCCTGGAGATCCCCCTTCCTCCTGCCAGGGTGCAGAGAGGGGTCTCTGGGTCACTGGCAGGCAGGCCTGGAGTCCTGGCTGTTGGCCTACACACAGACCTCGGCTTTCTTCCCTCCGCCAGTCCCCAGGGAGATCCCACGTGGCATGGGCAGCTGAGCCTTTGAGTCATGATGTAGGAGGAAGGCAAAACAGCTGGCTCCGGTTCAGCGCTCTTTGTTTTATTAACACTTCTATTTATCCCTCCACACTTCTCCGCCTGGTGCCTAGATCTGGGCGTTTCCCGTGACCCTGTGGAAGGAAAATGCCGCACTGGGGCTCTCTTCCAGGTGAGGGATGCCCTTACGGTGCCCAGCCAGGCCGGTGTGGAGTATCCCAAGCCCCGCTGGTCTCTGCTCCTCTCGGGTGCCCCGACGTCACCGGCTCCATGGTGACACTGCTCTGTTCGGTCTCCATGCAACCAAGTTCTTCTCCAGCCAGCTCTCAGAGCGGCTCGGGCAGAGTCCGACTGGTAGTGGGGTCACTCCGTGGCCTCCCAGCAGGCTGCTGCAGCCCTCCCAGAGTCGGGTCCTGAATCTCATTGAGCAGTGAGCTGAACAGATGTGAAATGTATTAACCGGTAGCTACAGCGGAGTGTTGGGAAAACAGCTGTGGCCCTTGTATCCTAAAAGCCCTCTGTAAATCAGGCAACGGTTCTGAGCCTCTTGCGGCTCACTGCCGGGAACTCCGGGCCCTGTTCTGCCGGCCGCCTCTGCTCTGGCTTCGCAGGTGTTTGGTGTCCGGGGCGGGGGGGATGTGTTTGAGGGGGTGGTGTTGCTGTTTGCAAGCTGTTGGGCTCCCTGTGCCACTGCCGCACATGGATACATCCTGGACCCGAGGCTCTTGTGGCCAAGCATATGGCCGGCTGGACAAACTCTCTGTGACGGGATGGCATTTCCTCCCCGCCGATTTGCCCTGCACCCTGGCCTGGGCGCCGGCTCCGGTGCGAGCTGTGGGCTAGGAGATGGGTTTCTCTGCGATGGCCATCCAGTCACCCTGGCCCAGGTCCCCAATCTCTGAGCCGGACAAGCCCTCAGGAATCCTCAGGGGTGGTTTGAAAGGAATCTGTGGGAGCTGCTAGGAATGGCTCTCCCCGCCAGCTCCAGTGTGATCGATGGCTGGATGCAGGTAGTGCTCCTCTGCAGTACTTGGGTGCTGTCTGTCTGGCCCTGTTGCAGCGTAACCCAGGTGCCTGGTGTGTGATGCTGAATGTATTTATGGCTCTCCTGGTAGAGGGGATGCCCAGCACCCCTGGCTGTACTCACGGGGGGCGGCAGATGGCCCAGACCTCTGGGTACAGAGGGGGATTTGTGCACCTTACATTTTTGGTGGGGAGCATGTTGGCCAGCTCTTCTGGGATGTTACGTTTCCACCTGGGCAATCCAGAATCTCCCGTCTGGCTTTGATTCGGGTCACTTGTCCTCATCCCTCTGCCCCACTTCTGACTGAAGCCAGGCCTCTCCCATGGCTACGAACCCTCAGCCTGGCACTAAGTAGGTGGCCCCACAGATGTTACCTAGAGAGGCAGGACGGGGACGGTATGGCTCTGCCTGTCTCCGGTCTGCTGCGGGACTGGGCTGAGCACCCAGGTTCCTTACAACGCAGAGTCTGGCGTTGGATTAGCTCCTCCTCGGGACACGCTGCTCCCATCACCAGACTCTGAGGCCATCTACACTACCTGGCTTTCCGTTCTATTTCCCCTGCCTCTTTCCCGGGGCAGCTCAGCCTGGGCGTGCCAGAGGCTGTCTCCACTGCACACCATGTAGGGTAGGTGTGGTACATGGCGCAGTGAGAGGCAGGTTCCTCACTGCCGGCACCTTTCCCACTGCCTGCTTCCTGCCGGAGCCTTTCCCCACTGCTGGAGTCTCCCACTGCGGCGGGGAAAGGCTCCGGCACTGGGACACTCTGCTGCTTGAAATAGCCCAGTAGCCATGGGAGGCACTGGCTGGGCGAGTAGAGCCCTAGAGGTACCTATCCAGCTACGGTCCCACAAGGGTCAGGCGTGTCCCTGTCTACACTGCTGTTTGTACCCTCGCTCTCCACTGGGGAGGGAGGCCACTCTGCCTCGTTGTCAGAGGCGGTAGTCTTCGGGCTCGGGCCACGCCGTAGGCAGTCTGTGGTTCTGGGCCCGTCTAACAGAGGCAAACACACCACAATAGTCTGGGGCTCTGGTCCCTACCTGTGGGCGGGGCAGTGCCTGACAGTCTTTAGCCCCCAGCCTCTCAGCTGGGGTTGACAAAAATTAACAGTAGGGCCCCAGCCCGCGGGGCTGATAACCGGCTGTAGCCTAAGCCTCCGGGCCTAAGGTAGCCGGCAAACACACCCAGTCAATAGCTCTAGCCCTGTGGGTGGGGCAGAGCAGGGAGCAGGCTTTAACTTCAGCTTGTGGGCTAAGGCAGCCAGCAAACACACACAGTCTCGGGGTTCAGATAGGCATGAGCACCCACACAGTCTAGGGGCTCCAGAGAGGTTGAGCACCCATCGGGCGGTCTAGGATGCTAGGGGGGGGGGGGGTCGTCAAGAAGCACAGTCCTCCTGGCCTAAACTGGGGAGTCGGCCACCCAAGGGTGGAGTGGCAGGGGGACGCGGGCCCACTCTACTCCACCGCGTCCCAGCCCAGGGCCCTAACAGTGGCAGAGTGATCCGCCACTGGGTTGGCAGGGATCCAGCCGCAACACGCCGACCCAGAAGCAGTCAGCCCTGTATCCGGCCAGTCTTCGGCTGCCCCGGGCTCCTTCCTACCTCCCCGGGGTTTGGTACTTCCGGTGTCCACTGGTCCTCAAGCTCCTCTGGGTATACAGCTGATGGCAGTCCCGGCAACTCCTCGTCTGGGTCTGTCTCCTCTGGGGCAGGGTGCGGCCGAGCCCAGGTTCGGCTCCCGGTGCCGCAGCAGGGCAGAGGCGTCCATCTCCTCCACTGGCTCCGGCCCAACTGAGCTGCAGAGCTTTCCTTTTATACTTCCTGCCCCGCCCCGGAGGGGGCGGGGCGGGTTTGGCTCCGCCCACCAAGGGGAGTGTAGTGGTGCCTCAGTACACTGTACTAGGGGTGTGTGTAATGTACGCACTCTCTGTGCTGCCGAAAGGAGTGTGTGGTGTAGATGTACCCGTTGTGTACAGCAGCGGCTGGCAGGTTTAGCCACCTCTCATGTGCCCCTGCTCGGCGCAGGGCTGGCGACCCGGCGTGTTTACACCAGCACTCCTGCCACTGGAGCTGCACCAGCTGTGGAAACAGAATGGAGTCTCCTGAAAAACTGCTGAGCGGGTCTGTTGTGTTCAAGGGAATGTCTGGGCTAAGGTGCTACACTGCCCAGTATTACACAAGCTCGGGCTTGGTACACAGGGACCTCCGCCTGCTCGCACCATGGCAAACGCACCACCGGACAGCCTGTTCACCTCTGTTAAGGACACAGAAAACAAGGAAAAACAGCTACAGTCGGAGCAATGTAAAATGCTGAGTAAAGTGTTTCCTGTAACAGCCTCCCGGGTCCCCTTTCCCTTTCGCTGGAGGGAGTTGGGGAAGGAAAAGGCCCTTGTTTGCCAGTCTCTGAGATGGTAGAAAGCCAGTGATCACTCTCCTTTTGGGGAGATGGGCTGGGGCTGCTGCTGCGTCCAATCCTGTTTTATCCTGGGTGGTGGTTGGGATTCAGC